AGCTCACTTGGTAGCCCAGGCTGGCCTCGAACTCACAGAGATCTGCCTGGCTCTGCCTCCCGAGTGCTGGGATTAAAGGCATGCGCCACCACCGCCCGGCGGAGATTACCCTTTTGTCACTGAGGCTGGCACCAAGTTAGGCCACCTGAGTGTCTTAGGCCCACTCTAAAGGCAGAGTGATGGAGGCCAAAACTTGATTCTGTCCCACTAGGCACAAGTCTTATGTCTGGTGCTAGGGCAGTTCTAGAGCTTCTGTCTGAAAGTTCTTGCATGGTATTAGATCTTTGGTATTCTATGGTGGAGCCTGGCACTGGGTTCCAAGTAGTGCTACTACTCATAAACTGCTCCCCAGTTGGTGGGAGTCTTGCTGGTCTCTCTACTGCCCCATTTTGGAAATGGTCTCATTAGTTGTCTTATGCAGTTCCTGTAACTAAACCTGTAGATCTTGGATTGGGTCATGGGGTCTGTGCCACACTAGAGTATACTGTGCTGGACTTGGCTTGGGGATAGAGGTTGTGAGGTATGTCCTGCTCTTGGTTTTAATATGATGGGTCTTGGATATCATGCTGAAGGTCTGGACTTAAGTCCCTTTCCCTTGGCAAGTGAAAAGACTCTGTAAGGCGCTTTTGAGGGCTGGGTGACACTGGCAGTGCCCTTCTTCTTGCTTCCTTCTGTGGATTTCTTTCTCTGCTCTTCTTTCCTTCTGTCACACTAAAAGGAGTCATTGTGGTATCTTACCTGGTCTCTTGGTTACCTTTCTATTGCTGTGAAGAGACACCATGACCAAAGCACATTATAGAAGAAAGAGTTTATTTGGGGCTCAGTTCCAGAGGGTTAGAATCCATGACCCTTATGGCAGGGATCATGGCAGCAGGCGGGTATGCATAGTGCTGTAGCAGTAGCTGAGAGCTTACATCCTTGTCTGCAGGTAGGAAGCTGAGAGAGCTAACTAGGAATGGGGTGGATTTTTGTAACCCCAAAGTCCAGTGACATACCTCCTCCAATAAAGCCATACCTCCTAATCCTTCCCAAACAGTTCTACCAAAGGGGGACCAAGTATTCAAATATATGAGCCTATAAGGGGGGGGCATTCACACCACCAAATCTGGGATTTTTAGTTTTAATGACTAAGTAATTTTAGCATTAATGACTACGTAGCATTTAGCAATATGCACGACTAGCTGTCCAACCTGATGTATCTATGGGGAGATGTCCAACAGAGGATCATTATCTTCCATTATGTTATGCTTATCTACCATTTTGTTCTACTTTCCAAAGCACATCTCATATCACCTAGTGTCCCATGGTTAGGATTCCCCCCTTTTTTGGAGACAATTTTTTTTTTCTGTATAACAACAGCCCTAACAATCCTGGAACTCACTCTATAGACCAGCTTGGCCTTGAACTCACAGAGATCCACCTGTCTACCTCCCAAGAGCTCGGGTTAAAGCAGTGTGCCACCATGTCCAGCTAGGATTCCTTCTTTAGAATAACATGATGAAGCCGTTCAAATGACTTTAGCTCTTGATCCAGAGTCTCAGGCACCAGAGATTCTCCCTCCAAGAGTTTATAAATGCATTTTTTTTCTATTGCTGACATTGTTGACACCATAGGCTCTACCAGATCATATAGTCTGGATGTCTAGGATCTTGTAACACAGCTCAGACTTACTTCAGGGCCCTCTGCTGTACTACGTGGCAGAGCTGGAAACTTATGTCCCAGATATATCCCTAGTAGAATGCAGTGTTTATAGAACTCCCAGCACTGTGCTGTGCTCTCTCCTTTCTTGCTGGGATGAGAAATGCAGCAATTTTCTTTTTACTTTGAAGGGGACCTCTTAGCCCTTCTGTGAATACTGGGTCCGTAAACCATTTAATGAAGGGACAAGTTCCTGATTTTCCACATGGTTCATTTCTTACTCTGGAGCGCAATGGTTTCAGTTCATTGCCCAGCTTTTGCTCAGTCTGTTTGGTCAGCCTGATAAAATGGATCAATAGGACATTCTATAGGATAGCCAGATGATGCAGGTGCCATTGTACTGAAGGGAAAGCAGAAAGGGGAAGGAAGGGGAGAGAAAAGAGAGGGAGAGACAGACGGACTGGTAGATTAAGCTGAATAACATTATGACTTTTAATGACATAACCATCTGTCTTAATTTGCTTTCTATTGCATTAATAACCACCATGACCAAAAGCAACTTGGAGAGGAACAGATTTGTTTGGCTTGCGCATTCACGTACAGTGCATTATCAACAAAGTCAGGGCACAAACCTGGAGGCAGGAACCAAAAGAGAAATAATGACGGATATTATTTTACTATATGTATAATATATAGTAAACATATTTATTCATATATAAATATATTTAT